ATGTGTACTTTAAAAAAATTGAGATAATAAAGTTACTCTGATAAATACTTGGATCGTATTTGATTAAGTCGATTAACTGGTCATTTCTCATAAAATAGTGTAATTAAAATATGATACTTAGTGACGGCTATCATCTTTTGTTTTGGTAGATAAATGACATAATAGATTTCGTTGACGTTTTTAGTCACGTGATAATCTTTACACTATTTTGGTAGTTTCTTTCTTTAGTTATTTTAAGATTTCAGATCATAGTTAGTTTATGACTGACTGAATAGTTACATAAAAAAGGGCAAGTAATGGTGGAGGTGAAATTATTCTCTTATAGATATACTGAATATTCTTCAATTATATTTTCAATAATTTCAAGTTTATTTTAGTAAATTATAATATTTAGTAAATTAATTATTATAAATTAAATAGTAAATTATGCAAATTTGCATGTAACTAAGAAAATATACTTATTCATTTAAAAAATTATGAAATAAAATAACAATCTACTTGGCCTATTAGCATTTGCATAACTTTTACTTTTTTATGGCATAGGGGCATACGACGGGGGCATTAGAACAGGGTCACCTGATGGAAAGTGACGCCGCCCATGAATGCCTGCAACTCAGGAGTTACAAGCGCCGGCCTTTGAGGTGAAACGTTAAGGGTCTTTTTATTCTCCTTTTTTTCGAGCCGGGGAATCATATCACACATCAACAGCCTATAATAGTCCACTGTTGGACATAAGCCTTTACTTAGAAAGAAGTTTTTGGCCAACTATACCACACTGACCAGACGGGTTTCATATAGGGTTTATTTCAAGTTTTCCTTCTCTCTGCAGTGCTGTTGTCCTGCGAAGTTTCCTCCCTTAGACGGCTCTTACGAGAACTGTGGGATGAATAGGGGTGGTTACACTCCGCATTCTTAATTCGTCACCACACGGAAAGAACCTTTAAATATTTACTTAAATCCCAACTTAAAAATAAAATAGATCGCCTCAAACACATTAGTTTTTATACTTTTCTCCAGAAGAAACTTGGACCAGCTCCTCTCGGAAAAATAGTAGCGAGTGCCGACAGCCATTTTGTATAAAGCAAGGGGGTGGTTTAAAATATTATGCATCGTAAGGAAATGTTTTTTTTTTAAGGTAGACATAGCTTCGTTTATTTAGTACGATGATAACTCTAATTTATAACACTGAAGTCAGGCATATGTTAATTTAGGAAATTGCTCAGCTGTTTTTTGGTTTTCATAAATTTTAAATATTAAAAGATAGAGATTTTTTGTACTACGTTTTAACTCTAGTGTATCTTATGATATGTTTTTTTATAATAAGCAGCTCACTCAATTGCGTTCTTAAATTACTGTAGATGGTATTCGATTTGATACTCCTTCGTGGATGTTTCACTAGGTTCTTCCATCTCACTCTGTCTCTAGCGGATCGCGGTTATGATTAGGAGATGAAAAATCAATTTGATTTACCCCGACCAGCATTGAAATGCCCTGTGATTTTTATTTCTCTATTCTGCCCGCCAAGGTCGCTTGGAAAAAGATTAGAGAGAGTTATTTAGATATCATATCCTAGTTAACCATTTGTTATACTGTTAATTAATATGTGGTCAAATTAGAGATCATAATACTTAAAGTTCAAAGCCGTCTGATCTCAAACTAGGCAGAGCTTATATTTATTTATCTATTGAGACTTCCTGCAAACATATTGCATAAGGCGGACTCAATACCACAGCCATTTTCTTCCAGTCAAATCTTTGGGTGTTGCAAAGCTGTGTGTGGCAGGTGTACATTTGGGACAAGTAAGGATGAGACTGAATTAAAGAATATTACAAAAGGAGAGAAAAATCTTACTGGTATATAGGTAAGATACATATAAATATCAAAATATAATATATATAATACATATATAATAAAGATACTCTTAAGGTGTTATTCTGATGACTCCGTCAACAAGTCTCTATAGAGCTTCCGTACTTTAAACATAAAAGTGGATCGGTTAGTGGACATCCTGATTTCTAGTGGGAATGTGTTCCAAAGGTTAACAGCTTGAACAGGGAAGGAAGATTGGAAAATACTGGAAATATGTGAAGGACAAAGAAGAGTTCTGTCATGATTAGAGCATAGATATTGGTAGTGGGCTTTTAAGTAGGTAGGTGAGTAAGGTGAATTAAGAAGAGAGTGCAACATAGTCAGAGTCCTCGAACTGCGGCGCTGTCTCATAAGTAACCATGACAGTTGGGTACGGTAAGCGGATATGTGTTCATACTTTTGCAGATTGAATATGAATCGAATGCTATTGTTGAGAAGTCGGTCTAATGTATTGAGCAGATCTGCATTCAAGTCGAGATAATACAAATCACCATAGTCGATAAGTGGAAAAATTATACTCTGCACAAGCATGTTTCTAAACACATACATATTATCGATAAATTACAACCAGACACAGAACTAATGAACATGCTCATCATAGAATCCTGGGTGGCAATCGAATCCACGACCCCTAGCTTAGCAGTCGGAATCACTAACCACTAAACCACCAACCGTCAATCCAAACATATTTGTTTTTCTTTTTCCAGATAAAACACTAACATTATTTATAGTTATATGCTACACTACTATTAATCTGCGTCTCTTTCACTCACTACTCTCCTCTCTGTTCGATAAAGCGTACACTTATGACAGTGGCCGGGATACGGCTGGTCCATAAGTCTGACAGAAGGCATAAATATCGCGGAACGCCGCCGCACCGAATCACTCGACGGAGATAAGGTACAGCCACAGCTTTCAGTTTTGCGATTCATAAATTGATAGCGCGATTGAGGCATGTGTAATGGTATTTTCAGATTGTGAGTTTATTGGAGGAGTTTAATTTATTGTGTGGGGTTGACGGGATGTTTACCAAATCGAAATTTAAATCCTTTGAAATATATGTATAATGATGGCCATTCATGTTTATTATGCACACAATATTTTATTTTAAAACATTAATTACCACATCATCTATTTGGATATTAAACAAGATTAAGGGTAAAGACCCTTGACTTTTAAAACATGGTTCTTAATTCGACTCATTTTTTATGTATGTCTTACAAGACAACTTTGCATGAATGATTTGCAATAGGTATACATGTTTTATTGAAATGGAGCTCTTTATTCACAAAGTAAAATATTTATATCATACCTATACCTATATGTAGATCTAACCTTTTACACAGTAAAACGTATCTATAAAATAAATACGTAAACTTCGAGCACTCTTCACTCACTCACAATCACTCTTCTTAGTATTCTTGCGTTCTTAAATGTATAATTTTAATTCTGATTCCTGACCCCTGAATACTGAACACTATGTCAAATGACCACGCCGTAGTTTAATTCAGACAGGTAAGTCTGAAATATTTGTTCCTATTAATACCTATAATCGTAAAATTAGATGGACATCAACAAGAATTTAAGTTGAACTTAATTTAAATATGGAACATGCTCAAAATGAGTCTGTAACTATTTTGAAAGCACTGAAATCTATATTCAGGCTTATGAGTTTCAAAATTGTCATTACAAATGCAACACTTTGAAATAAAACCGTAAATTTCCAGTAACAAATCGTCGTTTCGCGTACCACGGAGCATATATCTCAGAGTTATTTCCCTCGGATGAAATATGTGGCAATTTCTTTGAATAATACATGGGCCATATTTCAGCTGCTACGATGCTCGTAGCAAGTGTAGGCCGTAGGTGTTCGTAGTGCTACGTAAGGCGTGCCACACACCCAACGGTATTGTTAAGATTGAACAAATGATATATTGATGGAATTATTAAATGTAAAGCATTTAATAAATGCTTTAATGATTGAATTTTAATTAGAAATTGTCATCATGGTTTTCGTTTTGTTGCTATGATTTTTCACAGACTAATTATTAAATGAAAACGAAGTAAACTTGTATTAATTTGCGTTTAGGATTACACACACAACAACACAACACAGACACAGATGCTCTGTGTTTGTGACTGTACCATAGGTCATGTTTGACGTCTTAGCAAAGCGGGAGTCAAAACTTCCGAGAGGCTTTGCCTTGTCGGCAATAGGTATATCCAGACGTCTGAAACAGTAAAGTAAAATCCCTTAATTTCTCGAAGTTTCTTCTAATAGGGCTCCCGTCGGGTCCAAAACTAGTCAGACTTTCTTGAAATATCTAAATCAGTGAAATCGTATATCTTTAGTTAATACTAATACCACTCTCGTGTTTGAAGTTTTTTTTCTATTTTTTTGACTTTGTTCTTTAAATTTTAAGAAAAAGATCCACCCCTTAGGATGAAAATTAAAGGATAAAGAAGATAGTTAATTAAAATTTATGAGGTAAGCACAAACTAAGTGGTGATACTTTTTAAAAGTTTATTATTAATAAATGCAATTGAATTAATTTTGCGTTAAACCGAGAATGTCTAAAAATCAGGCTTAGTAGACACAAGTGTGTAACATGCTTTCTCGATAATATATCGCGCTACGCAGTGTCAGTGATGTTTCGGCTTTGTTTTATTTTCTTGTTTTGCGTTGATTGGTTCTATGGGGGTCTTGGGGAAAATTATTTATTTCACCTTTATTGGGGGAGGGAAACGAATTTAAACCATGGTACTTGTGAAAAAATATATCGTTCCTAGTTAGAAGAAAAATACATTAAGTTTCATATTATTGCTACTAAAAGAAACAAATATTAACCCTTAAGAAATACAAAATGTGCTTAGTAGTCATGTTTTTAAGATTTGCATTTAAATGAACTAAAATTGTAAGTTGGCTAATCGCCTAGTTCTGTAGAACTAGGCGATTAGCCAACTTACAATTTTGGTGGATGGTCCAGCAACGCAATGCAATCCTTACATTAAATTGCTATGCATATACACTTGTAAATATATAGCGTTTTACTGTGTGACCCGCTTAAATCTACGTAGCACAGGAAAAAAAATCAGTATAACTCAATCTCAACTCAAACAGAACCACTATGATGATGAGAAGGATCCTGCTAACACAAATTAAAAGAGGCTTCGGTGGAAGACATCACGACGCCATCTTGCCATCTGGCCTGCTTCTCCGATCAGGTAGAACTGCCAACTCGGGTTTTCTTCAGCGAGGGAGGGAGATGAGAGAGATAGCCATACCCGTCATCTTCGGGGCCAAGCTCGTTTTGCACTCTCCTGCGCCTCGTACTCATTCTGTAGGACAGCAAAAAACTATGATAAACGCCAATAACCGCTCGATAAGAAGCAATTCGCACGTTAGTTATAAACTTTGAATCTACAGAAAACCTACTTATCTGATCAATGCATAAAATTAACAGTCTAGCAGCAGTAGATCTCCTTTTAAAGTTAAGACGATATTTCAAACAAACGACCCTAAAAAAAATCGCACAACCATCACACGTTTAAAAGTGTCATCAATCCTGTGTAAATTAAAGTGCCACCACCTGCCACTTTTTGCCAGTGCCAGTGACAAAGGTGCCAATGGCAATTTATCACTTCACACGTCGCCTTTGGGACATATTATATATTGGAATAGCTATTAGAACACAATAAACGATTTATTTAATCGTTAGACTATTTTTCTCTTCAAACGTTTTAAAATGCAATATAACGCATATTTTTAATGCAATAAGATTCAATTCTGTAAAATTACTAGTAAAAACTATGCATATTTAGATGTTATTTTTACTATGGATCTTATCTTTTGGGTTATAAGGTCTATTTTCAATTTAATTAGACTACAGTAGTATTTTGAGTTAGCTCGTCGTTTCACTTCAGAAATGCGTGTTCTATAAATTTTTGAGGAGTTAAAAATTGTCGATTTAGTCTGTAAGGGTGATTTAGAGAAGGGAGAATTGTCATGGCTATTATGTGCGCTGATAAATGGTCGGCTTGTTTTTTGGCTTAGTGGGTGATCCTGGTGAGGATTATATCTGACAGTTGACATCTGTAGATGATACAATCTTTTTGAAATACTACGAGTTCGGAGATCCAACATGTGTTATTTGGCTATAAAATTTAATTGGAATCTATATAGTAGAGTCAAAAACAATATATTATTTACTTTATGGCTTATTGATGTGTGAAGTTGTTATTATTATTACGATGTTTTGAGTTTATATGTATTTGGCAGATGACATAATTGACATTGACATAAAGGTAATAACTTATTTTTAAATACAGTCATGGAAAACTAAGTAATACTGTTTCTAAAAATGAAATAATAAAATTAATCTACTTCCAATTCTTATACTTAAAAAATAGAATGAATAGAAAAACTCATCTTGTTTATAAATACCACCAGAATGACCAGAAAATAGAGCTTCAATTTAAATTAAATTATGAAATACGAAATTACCTTACGTTGCGTACGGAGTGCTGTCTTTAGTCAGTTATTTTTAATTTTACTTACTCACCTTCAACGTGATAATTCGGCCACACAATTTACGATCGTTACCTAAAATATTCCCGAGTAGAATCATCAACGCCGGTGTCAGTCCCTCATACTGTCACTGCGTACTCCCGCGAGTACCACTCTTAAAACTCGTAAAAGGCGCGCCATAAGTTTGAATTATCGCCGCTCTGAGCCTCAGTAATGAATATGGCTGCCTGTATATTTCAATTTGGGCACAACTGTGAGCAATGTGCTACGTTTTTACGACCAGCTTTTTGGTTCATCCTTTTTAGAAGGTTACGACAGCTATGTTTTTGAATAATTAGCGTGTTAATTTGTAAATTATGGTTCATTTTTAGTTCATTTTCATAGGTATCTATTATATAAAGTTTGGAATGCTGTCTAAAGATGGAATTTAGTGTTAGAAATACGATTTATAATTAGTTTTTAGTTTGTAACCTCGCCGATAAATCTGGCTATTCACAGGTACATACATTTCACGTGGTTTTTTTAATTCCTGTACGTGCCTGTATATAAAATACTTGAAATAATTCGTATCAAATTTTAAAAATAATTATAAAAGACAAATTAGGGCAGTGAATTTAGACTCGAATTTGTCTGTGTAAGATTATAAAAGTCGCTCGAAGCTAAAGAAATAATCTACAGCCTTCACGAGCGCAGCGCTAAAGGCGATAATCTCTAACTCAAGGAAGCCTCCGGGTTCTTAATCTACCAAAGCTTTTCTTTCCGTCAATCAAATAAACTTACCTCTTTAACAGCTATTAGTTATGGGTTAATAATTCATATCTCCATAATACAAACATTATATTATTTAAACGCGAATCGGTTTTTAATGTTTATGCGTTAGGGACAGGCATTGACACTTTATTGTATTGATTACTAGATTTTATCGGTTAGCATGATAAAAAGTAGCATATGTCCTTCCTCGCCAATCAAAGTATCTCTATGCCAAATTTATTTACAATCGGTCCAACGGTTTAGCCGTGAAAGCGTAACAGACAGATAGAATTACTTTCGAATTTATATTATTAGTAGGGATTTAATTAAAGAAAAAACCAGATTACTATTTATATGATATTGACTGGCCTCTTGGTGTAGTGGATTCTGATTGGCTAGCCAAAAGTCGATGTTCGACTCCTACAAATGACAACTAATTATATGTGAGTAATGAGCACGACCATTATTGTTTTCATATTAGGGTATAATAAGTGCCTATGTTTATCCGCAGTCTGGTCACCATAGCACAGGCGCTGCCTAGTTTGGAATCAGGCAGCCGTGTGTGTATTATATCAAGAAATAATTATATTGTGTATTATTTATTATATTGGTTAATAAGTGCGTCGATATCCATATGTACGTACGTGTTCTTTGGCGCTAATCTTATGTCTCTTTCAGATAATAACGAGTCTAAACAAAGGAATTTAAAGAGTCTCTCCAGAGTAAATTTCTAAGTACCGTTTTATTCATTTTGATAGTTAAATTCTTGTTTCAAAACTAGAGCTTAATAATAAGAGTAATACATACCAGTGGACATCCATATTTTTTGATAAAAGAGGGGGGGGGGGGAGGGTTTCGGGGCAAACGAACACTCGGCTTAGGACAAAACTTTGTCTTTGACTTTGACTCTGATGGGTAACACAAAGTGTTGTCCCGTATAGGGATCTGGCTCACAACACGCAGCGTAGTAAGAAGCGGCGAATTTGTTACCGGAACATAGTTTTTCCACGGTTAAAAAAACTATGTTATCTCTGTCTATAGATATTATATGATACAAAGCCATACATTGAGAGAAAGGCTCATTTAGCGAGACCATTTAGCCTCCGAGCAAGGTTGGAATTGTGATATAGAGAGTGTTTCATTACGCTCGTACGCGCCGTAACCGAGTAATAATTCAAAATTATAGTCCGCTTTACGACTCCGGGCCGACGTCGCGGTACGAGACACTAGTTTTAAATCGTGTTGCAGCGCCGATGTATAAGTGAAATATTCTTAAGTAATGACACAGAAAACTTTACTTTATCATAATTAGTTAAAACTTTATTTCCTGGGCGTTTTAATTTAATATCTTATTAGTTTACACACATTTTTACACAAATAGTACACATCTTATTAAGTACCTCAATAAATATTACAATGTAGTTTACCTAAGGGATCTTAGCTTTTTTTTATGTCAGAGGGGGCAGACGAGCAGACGGGTCACCTGATGGAAACTGACCATTGCCGCCCATGAACGTCTGCATCTCAGGAGTCACAAACGCGTTGCCGGCCTTTTAGGAAGGAGTACGCTCTTTTCTTGAAGGTTAGAAGGTCGTATCGGTCTGGAAATACCGCAGACGATAACCCGTTCCACAGATTGGTTGTTCGGGGCAAAAAATGTCTCGAAAAGCGCACAGTAGTGGAGCGCGAACTATCCAGGTGATGAGGATGAAAATTTGAATTTGGAACGATGACGGCAAATTGCGGCTGGTATTAGTCCAAACAGTTCCTCGGAGCACTCTCCATGATACATGTAATAGAGAGTCCAGAGTGAAGCCACATCTCTATGTAATGCCAAGGGATCGAGCCGATCGAAAATGTTTGAAATAAAATCTGAAAGGAATCTAAATAGATTAATTCTGAGTAGGTAGAGAAGTGTCTTTCTACAATGAATGGCTCTATAATAAAGTCTACATTGAAGAAATGACAATGGTAGCACTGAGCTTATGCCATATGCCTCTATGAGAGGGAATAAGAAAGCTGGTCATATCATATTGGAACTGCAAACAAATACTTTCAAGTTCCTTTCAAAACATGAATACAATCGTAGACTGACTCAAAACCTCCCGGAGCGGTAGCAACGTGATCATAATGTATAGTTGTTAATAATGCCTTTATGTACCCTGAGGTATTATTTCGTATCATTAACGCCATTATCGCGAAAGCACAGACTGATTTAAATCATAAACCATCACATAATCCAAATATATAATCAATAAAAACATAAATATGATAAATAGCCCCATTAGTAACATAAAAGCCTATACCTAAATAAAATCATTTTCCTTAACACATTTTACATAAATTATATTTTAACCAAAAAAATAAACACCATAATAAATCAGGGTAACCGTGCTAATCGTCGAACCTCGAATTCGGGATAATGCGAAATCATTTATAATATTTTTATTCCGACAATTCTATTGTTAATAACAATTTCGAGTAATAAATTCTACCTCCGGCATATCGGATCCCCCGGAATCACACAACAAAGAAAAGCACTAGATCATTGCCGCACAAAAAACCGTACACGCCACGACACAGCTTATTTATTTATGAGTTCAATTCAAACTTAAAGCCCTCTCCTACAAGCATAATATTGAGCGATCGATATCAGCTCATTTCGGGCACCACACTGTGTTCATTCAAAGGGACGCGTCAAAAAAACCAGTCCAAGTGTCATCTTTCTTGTGACAGACGACAGCTGCGGGGAACACGACAATACGCGCGATATCGATTCATCACATCGACGACAATGCTGCTCATTGGGGCGTCTACCCTACGCCGCGCGCCACAGTCCAGTAGAACACCATAGTGCAAAATTAGCTAACTGAATTTTGTAGTATGTGTAGAGTAGATTTTGTTTTACTCTGTTAAGGGTGGATGTGACAGTAATCGGTGGTAGTGTGAAACGGATAGACAGCCGTGGTGAATCGACAATGGTTGTGATTTAGAAGGGAAATAAATAGGGTAAAAGCCGTGAAGATAGCAATAACAAACACACATTTCATGGTCGAGGATTCGCTTAGGTTCGTTATGCTTTGTAGCAAATTTGATATGGGTGTCGAATGCGTTCAATAGGATTCTAAATAGTAGATCCAAGATACAGTGCATTGTGTAAAATAAACAAACATAAATTAAATATTGACGGACTTTTAAAAAGTACTCGAGTTGCTGATTTGTAGTTTTTGATAACGAATACTACCTACTTTTCTAATGAAACAAATGTTGTTTTTTTGTGAAACGAAGTTATTGTAATATTTTTTGTTATTTACATAGAGTGTAAAAAGTATGTATTATATTTATTAGGAAGTATTATTAAGCTTAGCTTGTACTTAATTGCAATTTCTAGTTAGGGCCAAAGTCAAGAACAATAAATTTAAATGGTTAACATTAACAGATTAATACCGGTTGTATTAATCTGTTAATGTTAACCATAAAAGTTCAAAGTCCCGATCAGTAGATGGCGTCATACTATCGACTTTAAAACCCAATCACTAGAAGTTTGAAAAATATTTTTTAATAAACAACTAGGTAGGTACGTGATGTAACAGAATGTAAAAAATTATTAAAAACTAGTCTGCACAAACAACCGACTAAACAAATAAGTACTACTCACAACAAACATTTATTTGATTATGAGTTTTCGGAGAAAAATAAAGCTGTTTTGATATTAATTTGCTTCGTGCTTTAATTCTAAATAAAAATTGAGATATTTTGAGTAAAAAGAATAATTTTAAGAACAGTTTTACATTTCTCCTTGCCTGCTTCTCTTCCTTTCTTCTCCTTCTTCTATCTATTTTTTTACTACTGGCTGCCCAGAGATTGAGAATTGCCTAGAATTTATTAATATTTCAATAATCAACTTCTGTCAGAGGTGAAGGAATACCTTATACTGAATTTGATCATTAGTAATAAAAATAAAAGTCTGCCGAACGTGTTTTAATTATGAAAACAGAATAATTTTTACTAAAAAAACGGTTGCCAAATCAAAGAAAAGGAAGAAACTGTATTCTTTGTCTTAAATTAGTATAGTACAATAAATTAAATTCAGCTAACATCTTTGGATGTCACACACAGGTAAACCACAGATAACCATTCCTCCTACAACATCCAAAGATGATCATATCGGTAGCTTTTATCTCATTAAAAGTAGAGATTTATTAGCCACGTCACTTCGGATTCATTCCTTGTTTGGATGTCGGTTAATCATAATAGACGTATTGAAGCATGATTGAGCAATAATAAGAAACTTAAAACCCATGGGAACTGCTTGTCTACTCGGATTATTTCTGTTGGGAATATAGTTTTTGTTCTTTTTTTATTAAATGGATTAGATGAGTTGCCGGTCTTATGACAGCTATGTAAACTTTTTGATTCCATGTAGGTAGTAATAGAAGTTCTTTTTTGTGGTATAGGGGCAAATAAGCATAGGTACGAGTCACATGATGGTAAGTGGCGTCGTCTGCATCTCAAGAGACACAAGTGCCTTGCCGCCTTTTGGGAAGTGGATTGGGACTAGTGACTCGAAGAGGGCGTAGTGTATCCGTGTAACCTAAAATTTCTTATTTGATCCTTCCCCCCATAACTAAATTTTTAAACAGAACCCGAGTCGTACCCGACAACAGTAAATTACATCACCAAAGTTGTCAAACCACGTTCATGCGCAAAAGTGTTTATTGTATGGCACCATATTTATCTATACAAATAAATAAAATTGGAGTGTCTGTTTGCAATATTAAAATAACCGCTTTTTACTAAATGCATATTATTATGTATGTTTACACGGTACATATGCCAAAATAACATTTTTTAACAATTTTTGTCTGTCTGTCTGATGGTTCCGGGTAATCTCTGGAACGGCTGGACCGATTTCGACGGGACTTTCACTGGCAGATAGCTGATGACATAAGGAGTAACTTAGGCTACTTTTTTTAGACTAGCTTCGCCCCGCGGCGTTGCCCGCGATTATAACAACAAACACGGGTAACACCGCGGGTCTCAGCTAGTATAATAATAAATTGCCAGGCAGGTGGAAAGAGTTGGGAACAGTTATGTTTAAGAGTAGACTACGTAAATTCCTAGTAGATAAAGCTTACTACAGTGTTACAGAATTTTTATCATAGAAAAAAAATTAAGTACTATGATTATGGATGTATTATCTCAATGCCAATGGTGCATTTTGTGTTGTATGTTTACTATTGTGTCATTACTGATTTTTGTTACCCTAATGTTAAGATTTAATATTTATATTATTGTGGATTTGAATATATATATTTTTTTAAATAGTGTATTGTCATCGGTCCTCGATACATCTATAAAGTTTGAACGAATTCTGACCGTTTAAAGTCAGTCAAAATCACGCCCAAAGGAGTCGGTTACAAACAAACAAACATACAAGTGAAGCTAATATAAATCGTGTAAAAAGCATGTTTACTTAGCCTAATACAAAAAAAAAAACACGCCACTGGTAAAATATGGCTGAGCTTTAATGTACTGTAACACTGATCATGTATTAGTAATACATGATCAGTGTTACAGTACATTAAAGCTGTAAAATATGGGTAATACAGTATTACCCATATTTGCAAAATAAAATATATTCTATTGTAATATAGGGCTAAAACGCAGGTCTCCATGGGCGGTAATAGTCACTTGCCATAATCGGTGAATAAACCTATATAAATAAAGAAAGTAGTGGAGCAAACTCATTTATCTGCTCCCCTAATAAATTATACGAACGACATTGTCAAAAGTAAATCGCGTCAACCGTCAACCTCACACCGCGTTCATTCCTCGTCACAATAGCTACGTGTCCCCATCACCGCGCCATTGTACCTCACAATCGTGACGGACAAACAGAATGTACCGTCCGAGCTTCCTGCGCTTTCAAAACGGCGGAATTGTGTAAACACCACTATATTGTAAGTGCATTTTTCTGTGACGGTAATGTGGTAACCACCAAATAAACGCCATGTGAATTTCAACTCTATCGTTTACACTACATGATTTATTTTTCAAAGGTTTGTTAGGTAAGTGAGGTTGTTTATAAGTAAGCGGTGAAAATGTGTGCGGGTAATGGATTGGCCGATTGTCGGCCGTCCGTGGAGTAGCGGTGGGTGGTCATTTCATGTCGGCAACTTTACATCATCGTTTGAAAAGAACAGTAAGGGCGAATATTAAATGAACACTCGTAATGTACCTCGTATTTTATTATGACGTGTGATATTCAGTTTGAATACTTAAGCACTTTTGATGTTTAACATATCTTTCTTAGAACTTTTGACATATGGACGCAGGTGAAACTAAAATTATTTCAATAAAACACGCTTTTTTATGGCGTAATTACATTTGGTCGTTAGCTTCTAATCGATTGCCTATGGAATTCAGACAAGTGTAAATGAAGGGAGTAGAGTTCGCCCGTCTTCGTTCACTCTAGTCTAGCTTTCATTTTGGTTACCCGAATCAGAATCAGGATAAACGACGCCATTTTTCCTTCACTTGTCATGCAGTGCTTTGCCAGTCGTCACAATGAGTAGTGTTGCTCTTTGAAGAAGCATTCATATTGTTTGTGATATTTTATTGATAGAATTGGCTCGCAAAATAAAATAGAAACGAAGAGTGTGGGTGCAAGATTTATTCAAACAGAGAGATAACTGTTTCGCCTCGTTCATGAAATGGCAACAATTGTTAAATGTTAAACAGGAATTTGAAAATTTGGATGACACGGCACCGCAGCGTCCGCAGGCACACGTATCTCCTCGAACGCGGGCGCAGAGACGTTGGTCCGTATTCCATTAACTGAATTCGTGTAAAACAATGTAATTAATGTATCGGGCCTTCAAGTAACGTCTTTCGTGCATCCGAATACGAGCTAACCACGAAGTGTTATTGCACCTTTATACTTCAAAACATAAAACTTGTAAACCATGTAAAGTCATCGGATTATTATATATACACCAGATATCTGTTCCACATTTATGTTAAACGGCTACTAAAAGGTATACAAAATGAAAGATCCAAGAAACAACATAAAATTTATACAGTTTGAATAAACATAAACATGTCAGTGTTACTACGTATTCACCATATTTACGTATAATATGACCAATTTAGACGCTGAGTTATGACCAGGACGGTCATTACGCGCTCCAAGTGTCATGGCAGTAAAATATAAAATATTCTTATCATTACCGGGCACGGCACCTCGACTCACTGTTTGAACATTAATGTGTGACAAATAAAAACGTTGGCACTGTTAGCTTATTTTTATGATTGTATTCTTTATATTTATTTTTTATTTTATTAAGTTAAATTTATTTGTATACAAAACAGTACTACTTAAAAACTTGATTAACATCATGATGAACGTGACGACAGGTTAATTATTAGAGGTGTGCCTAATCTTCATTAATTACTTGTTATTGTAGGCTATATGGCGGGTGACGAGTACCGTGTGGTGACGGTTTTAGAATACAGAGTGTCACCACCCCTATTCATCCCGTGGGTGTCGTAAGAGCCGACTAAGGCAAAAACTACGAAGAACAACAGCACTGCAGAGAGAAGGAAAACTTGACACAAACCATATACCAATCCGTCTGGCCAGCGTAGTATAGTAGGCCAACATCTCCTTTCTAAGGAGAGGCTTATGTCCAGCAGTGGACTATTAAAGGCTGTTGATGATATTGGATATTGTTAGTAGGTACTCGTTGTTACATTTCGAACGAAATACATGATCAGTAGTATAAAGTAGCTCTGATTTTAATGAGCTATTAGGTACCAACAAAACTAATAAGTTTTTTTTA